AGGAGAAGTTATTACTGAGCAGCAGTGTTATGGTCACATTTCTGAAAAATATAAAGTTAGTAGCACTACTACTTTCATCCACTTGGTGGAGCACATCTGCTGTGCATCGCCAGAAACACCTTGGTGACTTGTTTGCTTGAGATTGAGAAATGCTGTTGGTTTTAGTTTCCAATGCTGTTGAATGACAGAACATGTCCTGCAGCAATCGATAATAGCTGTCGAGAAGCTGAAGCCGATCAATGTGATAGAATTATGGTCAAACTTGAACAGAATTCATGCTGTCTATCATAAATCATAATTTTCTGTTTGAATGAAATACAAACCACGACCACATTTAATCAAATTATTACTGTTATTTCATTTTTTTAGATGAAGCAGGCAAAGGTCACTGTTTTTATGCGTTCTCAGATTTGCCTTGCAGCAAGCGTGTTCAGTCGTGTTCCTGTAGAGAGCAGTAAGACCCTCGCCTTGTCTACTGATCCTGCTTTATTAGCCACTGCGGACAAGCCCTGGCATTCAAATCCACAGAATATGGAAGAGGTCTTTTAAATTCTTCTCAAGTCAACAGCCAGTGGCCAAAAAGTGTTGCAAGCCGAGTGATAATCACTCAAGGTCACAGGAGTTTTGGATGACTTGGCTGTAAAAAATGGGTGTGGGAAACTGTTTAATATGCATGGGGAATACTACATTTAGATGAGGGGTTAGAGCCGGAATCTCTTGTGGATATTATCAAATCAGATACTGCTGTGTTAGCATGATTTATATTGATATATAGGACTGGTCATCAGAATACTCCTTAGGACTGCATTTTGCATTTGGAGTCAGTGATTTAAAATGAACAGGTCTATTGCATTTCAATTTTTTTTAGGTTGTGCATCAGGGTACAAATGAATAATTTGCAGTATAAACCACCACAGTTTTTCATACTATGGAAAATTGCTTGTAAATGGGAGTGAAGAAGTCTGCATGTCATGTGTACAATTAATTCAATTAAAGGGATAGTCCACCCATTAAAAAAAAACATGTGTCATCATTTACTCATTCGTTCTAAACCTGTATGCATTGCTTTCTCCCGTGGAGCGCAAAAGAAGACATTTTAACAATACTGGAACCCACCGACTTCCATTGAATGTGTGACTGTGTAAAGATTCGCTTGAGATCAGGTGGATAGCTGCTCAGTTTTCTTTTACAAGACCTGAGACAAACACGACATGAAATTCCAAGAAATTCACTGGAAACTGAACACGCACGACTTTCTCTCTGCCGGTCGGAACACTCTTAAAGGGACAGTTAACCCAAAAACGAAAATTTCCTGCAACTTTCATCATGCCTCTCTCTTCATGGCCATTAAAACTCTATTTCCCTTTGAAGGTTGCCAAAGGTGAACTTATGAAGTTTGGCACGCTGTGTCTGTTCTTTGTGACTGTGTTTACTGGCAGTTTTCTGCAGTCGTTCTCAGAAGTCATGGTTGCTGATCACTGAATCATCAAAGACATACTGAAACACCACGTCTGTTGGCGGCCTCGGGATACGCTCGAACATAAGGGTGAATACAGTCTTTTCATGCACTTCAAAATTGTAACTGAAGGTCACAACTAAATGTCTTTAGAAACTGTGGTCACCTCGAGAGTCCTATTGAATCATTTGCTAAACCACTTCCAATAGGGTGCTAGTGTAGTGTGTGTTTTTTGAAGGCCAGTCATATCAAACTAGTTCTTAGTGATTTTACTTTGAGTGTTTTAAGCAATTTGAAGGTTTTCAGGCCTTCATGCAGTCTCTCAGACAGACAGATAAATTGCTATGTGGTTGCTATTCTGGGGCGCGTTACCCAAAAACATCATTAGCAAACTATGATCGCAAGTTCCATTGAACTCTATTAGTAACGACAGCCATAGTTGCTTTTGGGAAATGCACCCCTGGTTGTTTTTTAGGGTGTTGCTAAGCAGTTGCTAGGGTTTTGCCATTTACTTGCTTGGTGGTTGATAAGGTGTTGCTAGGTATTTGCAAGTGTGTATTTTTTTCATACCGTGGATGGCTACCAGCAACTGTTTGGTTCTCAACATTCTTCAAAATATCTTCTTTTGTGTTGAACAGAAGAAAGAAACTCATACAGGTTTGGAACGACACGAGGGTGAGTAAATGAGGACAGGATTTTCATTTTGGGGTGAACTGTCCCTTTAAGAATCTGTTTTTGTGAGGCACTTGTTGGTAATATGAGAATGGAATATTTTCTTATTGTGTTTTATGTCAAAATAGTACAAGATTGTATTATTTAAATGTATGTGGCATCAAAAGTAATCTATTTACACACAAAAGATCTGACTACAATCACTGCTGCCATGATCACTTCAAGCATTTAATTGAATTTTAATTGAATTTTACTGCCCCTTTGCATGGGCAGTAATAGATGCATGTTACTGCATCAGAAAAAAAAAAGCTGACGTTTTTCAATCTTGTGCATTTCATAATATGCCTTATTTACATAGAAAAAGCTGTTTTGCCTCTTAACCTGGACCCAGTATGTGAAAAAGACACCAGAATTTACTCTGAAATACAACATGCCAAATAATGTTTTGTTAATTTCCCCCACTGTATTTCGTTATGAATGTTGTAGTGGCATGTAATCATAATAGTCTCTAATAATTATTCTCATTTAAGAAATATATCCATACACCTTATAAATGCAATATTTTATTGAAAAATTCCACAGCTCTGTGCTTTTCCTTTATGAAAAGGATTTTCAGTACATATAATTGTATAATGCAAACCCTTTCATGAAACCATCAGTGTCCTTTTAGTACACTACTCAATAAATATATAGATATGCTGAACAGCTGAGAGCTTATTTTCAATCTTTTTGCTTTGCAGCTTGTCGTTGCTGCATTAGAAGCATGGTAAATGATTTAGTGTTTCCCACAGGCAATAAAGTATGTAACAATATTTATTATTTACATGTGCTCTTCACAAATGCAATTGTTACCAAAACACTTTCAATTTGTGAGATTTATCCATTTATACATATGATTATATTTGTGCATTTGAGTATGAAAAAAAAATCTAAATATCATTGAGGATGGGACATCACCCTGCAGGGGTTAACAACTTTAGACTTTAATAATGCTTTATCCATACAAATATGTTTTTGTGCAAACCCAAACAATCAACTGCAGCTTAAGAGAAATTATACGATATAAAACCTTTGAACAATTTAGATGATGTTTGGAAGATACAATTAGTAATAAAGCTCACATATTTTTACAGTTATTGTACTAAACAAACAAGATAAAGGAAAAAAAAGATACCACATTAGATCAGATTTCACACTGAAAAAAAATACAAGATAAATTTACTTGAGAAACAAAATTGCATAATGTAATAAAACTCAGTTTAAAGCTCTAAAACTCCTTGTTTAAAGCATAAATATAACATTGTCAATTAAGGTTTATATGGAAAAAAATAAGGGTTAAAAATCAAGATATAATAAATATCTTAAGTAAAACACAGTTTTGCTTCTCAAATGAATGCATCTTTTTACTTGAAAACAAGACTACAATTCTGATTAAGAAAAAGATTAAGTGTAAGAGGCATGTCAGTAAGCAACCAAATGGAGAAAAGCTTTCATTTAAAATACACACACACACACACACACACACGTTTTTATATGTGGTTTATGTGGATTTTCTACTGTACAAACTGCATTTTCTATCCCTTACCCCTCACACTACAGGCATTTTTAGTTTTTAAAAAACTTAATTCTGTATGATTTAGTGTGTTTTGAAGTTGTGTTTGCTCGCCTGCTTTTTGGCTTGTTTGCTCATATGGATTATTAAAGCCTTTTTTGAACCTGATCATCATCTTCCTGTGCTTTTTACAACCTAAACGTGACACACACACACGCACACACGCACGCACGCACACGCACACAGACAGACAGACACACACACACACAGACACACAGACACACACACACACACACACACACACACACACACACACAGACAGACAGACAGGCACGCACGCACGCACGCACGCACGCACGCACACACACACACAGATACACACACACACACAGACAGACAGACAGACAGACAGACACACACACACACACACACACACTGTCAGTGAGTGCAAAAGACCTTGAAACATGATTTTTTATGTTCTATCTTGATACAATATCACTACAACATTAAAACCTTCAACAAAAATGTATTTCAATCTGAATCTAAGTTTGTAGAGCTTCAGACTGTCTGATCTGAACTAAAATCCAAATTGTCCACATTTTCATCATAAGGTTTGTAGTAAATAATTGTAGTAATATGATATTGTAATATGATTTTTTTCCTCTTTATGTTAGAAAACAATAATATTACATTTAAAAAAATCCTCAAAACAGCATAACAACAAAGAAATAGTGAGAACAAAAGTGCTGGTTAGCTCTATGAAAATCTCTAGCAATGTCCTGTTGTGGGATGGTGGCAGTTTATAGTGAGCCTTTATTAGCCTTTTGACATTAATAGTACTAATATTAAAACAAAACCATATTTATCATGGCTGATGAACAGCATTTCAATACAATGCAGATAAAAGATCTCTTTAACTTAATTTTAGGTTGCACTTGACATGGAACTGGAAATTCTACATTACATTAGTAGTATGTTCAGTTTTCTATAACTGTATCCATTTTCTGTAAGTATTTTCAAGAATAAAAATGGATACAGCTTTTCCGTTGAGTGTAAAAACAGGACGCTTGCTGAAATAAGCTATTTAGATAGTAGAATGAAAAATGGTTCATAGTTTGGCACTAAATCGATCCACATTCACACAATTTCTATTGCTACCACATCCATGTCATCCTACAGTAAAGAATAAACAGTACATTACTCATGGAGATATCTCTGGGGTGTGGCTGTTGGTTTTCAGTAGCAACATCCAGAATATCTACTCAAAAAAGAAACAAATCAAGCTTTGCTCCACAAATATGATTATTCTAGTGTAGGTGGCACAGTTGATATTGAGGATTTTCAGAAGACTCCTATGACATCTAATTTTAATACGAGTATAAACTAATCAAAAATTAACCATGCTCACGTGCATGATGCAAAAATATCAAGATGCATACACAGCCACAAAATGCAAAAGCGTACTGTATGCTGGTTTGTTCGGCTGGAAGATTAATGCATAGGGATTGGAAATCAAACTTTATACATGTCTAGATTATGTATTACTGATGTAACCAGAAATATTTTGCTTATCTGTCATTTTTGCTACCAAAACAAACAAAAACATTGATTTTAACTGCAGCAGCGGAGAACAAAATGATCTAAACGTCTGATAATATCCTCTCACTTTGTCACGTCTCAGATTTTTGTCCACAGTATTTTAGTTGCATTTGTTTTGGTGTTTTTTACTTATATATTTGTTCGATGACAACACTTGAGCAGCGGTGGCCAACACCAAACATATTTATATACTCACAAGCATATACTTAACCTGGGGTGAGATTTCTGACGTTGATGGTTCATTAAAATAGAAAGTTTGCTTACGTTACGTTTTATTAATGTTAGTTTGTAATATGTTTCCCATGTATGCATGTTAATGTTCTAAATAGATAATATTTACTACATGCATGCACGTCATTTGCTGAAGCTGAGTAACACACATTAACATATCCATCTACAGATTATTTACTAAATTCACTGAAATAAGCTCAGAGTTTGTCAACTGAAATGTATAGCATAGAGTGCAATGGCGACCCTCCTCCTACGTTTTTAGCCCAGTTTATTATTACAACAAATTAATACATGAACAAAAAATAAAAATGCATATAAACATTTTGTTTGACAACATTCTGTTACACGTTTCTGGAAAACTTAAGACGGTGCTGGTAAACGAAAACTTTTGATAGTTTTAAATCATCTTAGCTCCAACAAAATAAAATAATAGTTAAAGACACTAATAATAAAATAGGGTAAAATATGACTATAGTACACTATAGTATGTAGTATCAGAATACTCACCCCAGCAACTTAAAACTGAAAGAGGAGCAGGACTAATTTTGTTATATATCAAAGAATGGAAAGGAGGCTCATACCGATACCCAAAATGATGCAAAAAATTGAATATTTATACATGTAACAATATCATTGTGCATTTACTGTATAAATGACTGACATCTAATAGTGGCAAGAAATGTTGTAAAATGTTGCCTGTTCCAGTTACGTTTTCCTGACTCTTTTTTGCCTTTTATTAATTGATGACAATAGAAGACTTTTGCTAATTTTTGGCCTAAAAGGTGCATGCATTATGATGTATATCACTACATTATACAGTATTAATATATTTACAACATTTGTACAGGTGACCGTACATTTTACCAGCCGTGACCAACACATGGAAAAACTGCAGGGTTACAAATGGCATAGAAATTTCAAACACTTAAATTTGTACATTTACGCTTTAGAATGCACAAATAATTACAAATGATAAGAGCATGTACAAATAAAGTCTCTGACACATTTGTTAGTATTCGTTTGATTGCTTTTTCCTCGTATAGGCCTGACAGCCATGCATTTGAAGAAGGTTCCCAAAATCTCTTTAGTGCTTGCTCTTTAGGGGCTAAAAGGACATGTAGGCATGCAGTACTCAGATCTTCTGCTTTTCGCTCGACACGATTCAGGAATAATCTTACAGATGCAGGTTTTCACTGACTTTTTTTTTTTGTTTGCTACAACTTTTGCTTTATGCACAAGATATACTTTCTAGAAAAAGATGTAAACGTAGACTAACCAACAATTCACATATTACGTAAATGCACGAAAAAAAAAAAAATCCTAAAATGAGCTTTAAAAACAACAACAACAACAACACAATACACCTTAAATGTTTTCAGTGGGTTCACGTTTCCAAGAAAGGGTCTTGCTGGAATCTGTAACATAAAATAAGGCCAGCCTATTTAAAAAAAAAAAAAAAATTAAAGATAGAGATAGGAAAACCAGTAAACTACGTTGAATAGACCAAATGCAGTAGGAAAGAAAATGCGGGCGTAAGAGTCTATCTTAGTGACACGGATGTGCAAACGGCCGTGCCGCCACGCTCCTGAGCGACAGTCCTCAAAGCAGCAGAAGAAGCTGGAGCAGTCCTTCCCATCCAGACACTCGTAGCCGTATTCCTCGTCCCGCTCCTGCATGTGGGTGGCGTTGTTCATCTGGATTGTGGTGGCTGAGCGCGGGCGAATGTCCACAGTGGGGGCCTGCTTTTAGAACAGAACACATAATCAGCAAGAGTCCCATCAAATAGAGCTCGACCAGCTGTTAGGGGCTGCGCTCAAACGTCTGTCAGTGGATACTTTGCACCTAATATTGCAGGTAGAATGCATTAAAAGATGTGCAACTGCAATAGTTGGCTGTAAAACAGATTTCTTGCTTTTTCTTTCTTCCTTTAATACTTAAAATATATATCATATGTATTATGGCTGTTCATTGCACATTTATCTGTCTGTGTTTTATATTGTTGTGCAATGATTATTTTACACTAGAATATGTATCATGCAAAAATAATAAAGCATAACTGCATCAACTTCATAGAAAGTCACTACAGCAACGTTTCCCACGTGAGACCACATGGCTCTGTCTAACATGGTACTATGTGTCAACACAGAACAGCTAAACAATTAGGTATTAATATACTTTCAGTCTTGTATCTTGGCCAGTATCAGTACTAAAATATAAGTTTAAGTATACACTTGAAATACACAAATGTTACGAGCAGTGTTGGGAAAAGTTACTTTTAAAAGTAATGCATTACAATATTGCGTTAGTCCATAAAAAAGTAACTAATTACGTTACTTAGTTACTTTTTATGGAAAGTAATGCGTTATGCTACTTTTGCGTTACTTTTTAAATCTGGACAGGGCTTGTTTGTTTATTTTTAAAATAAAAAAGTTATATTTTTACCATTTTTATATTTTTTGGAAAAAAAAATTTAACTTGCGTTACTTATTTGAAAAAGTAACTCAGATATTCTCTCGTAAATTAAAAAGTAATGCGTTACTTTACTAGTTACTTGAAAAAAGTAATCTGATTACGTAACTCACGTTACTTGTAATGAGTTACCCCCCAACACTGGTTACAAGACCTGCATGTAAATATTTCCCATCAAAACCAAGAGAAATCGGATTATTGGGACATATCCACATTTCTGGATTCGCAATCATTTTGCCCAGCACTGGAAGGGGGCTTCAAATCCCTTTGAAAAACGAAGCACAACCAGCTGTTCACGCTGGCTTCTCCGGGTGCACATTATGTAGCATTTAGGACAGAGCCACCCGAGGCTGTGCGGAAACGGGTCATGTGACTCGCTTCTCAAAGGGTTTCGCAGAAGCGTTTGGAAAGCACACGAGCACAAATAGCCTGCCATGTGTAAAGAAACAAATACAGTGGAATTTGCAGCTTTAACCGGATGAAATACGACAACCTTCAAAGAGAAAGCGCCTTTTCGGTCTTACATTATTTATCTACATTCATGATTTTATTTATTTTTTTAACTGTGGTTCTCAACTGGTGGGCTGTGACCCAAAAATAGGTTGTACGTCTGATACAAAACCCTTTTTTGGGGGGATTTTATGCAAAATAAGCATCACTTATTTAGAATAGCCTACTGCAAATTCATTAACAGAACAAGGTTAAGAACAAATTTATGTGCGCACTCACATGTTGTGAATTTGGCGAAATTTTAGATGTCATTTGTGTAAAAATATGAACAATGTGTCACATTATTAGTGAATCAGACCCATTGTAAAATTGAGGTCCTGAAGTAAAACTAGTCAAGAACCATTGAGTGCAAGCAGGTGGTCACGTTGGTTATGTTGACGGAAGTTAGCCTATTTTCAGGTGCTGCGTAATATCATTGCGCCTGCTGCACCCATGGTACGGCAGCAAAGTTCCTTGATTATTACGTAAAATTTTAATGTAAAATTTTACATTAAATGTTTAACCCAAAACTTGGGTTAGTCCAAATTTGACCCAAAGTTGGGTTGAAACAACCCAGCATTTTTTTAGGTGTATAGCCTGGTATGCTAAATTGCAATTGATCTAATTCCCTTTTTCCGAATTCTTGCGAACTATCTTTTAATCCTTAATAGATGCTAAATGTAGGCCTGTGCCCTCATGCACAATGACTTTTGAAAGATATCTACGACTAAATCTGCCAATCAGGCTCATGCTCTTTAATTGGGATTAAGGTAATCAGTATGGTTGTCTATTTCAAGCTGTTAAGGCTCTGCTGACTATTTCTGTCAGGTTTAAAGCCTCATATACAAACACGCAGAGAAGGAGGAAGGCGGCCACTTTTTAGTTAAAAGAATGATGCAAGTATTTCAGCCATTACTGTTGTTTTATTGCATTAAAGTAAAATAAGAGTCTGTGTGCTGTCTTTCACAGCACAGGAGCTTCAGTGCTAAACTGACTAGATGTTAGTGCAGTGAATCTAAAGATCAGACACAAGAGCAGTGTGGTTGCACAGAATGCAGAAACATGCATGATTAGTGAACTTTACATGAGCAATATACCTTTGAGGAAAAGAGCCGCAGGAGCTTTTGTCCACACAGGAAACAAAAAAATATTAGAAATTGAAAAGAAGAAAACAAACACATACAAACAAACCAACAACATAAGACAGACATACAGTATAATGCAAAAAAGACTCTGAAAGTGGAAAGAGAACAAATTACTGCAACCTCACACATATACATAGACACAGAGGAAGGGTGTGTAAGGCAGCATATATTAACAGGTTCACTGCATGTTGTAAAATACAGACTGCTCATTCCTGCGAGAACATATCTGCAAAGTGCATTCAAAAATACAATCATGTATAGTATAAACTATTAGGCATGGTTTTGAACGTGGCTCATCCAGTCAGATTTTAGAGCTTGGAAACTGATATTCCTTATATACTTCAAATACAAATCAGCATGTGTGTAGCAAACAATCATTACCAAAGAACAAAATAATCATCTAAGGAGGAGACTGGTACTCTTCAACTCTGCAGAGATCAAAACGCTTCTTCAGCAAAAGCTTCTTGGTGTTTTATTTGAAGAGTTTTACTTCAGAGCGTGCCTTTGACTGGGAACCGAACTGTCGAATGTGGCTTGAGAATCAGTACTCATTAATCTGCCTGACATTTTAAACTCTAAAATCAAATAAGACATTTCTGGCACCCCTTTAATCATCTGAAAGTGGAACGACCCCATTTTCTGAGATCAGCCCTCCTCAAGCTACGGATATGAGCGCCCTGCTGAGATGAAAATCTAAGGCTGCACTTCAAACCTGCTGCTGAAATGATTCAGATTAAGGAGATCACTGCTCAGTGACACTGTTTGACAGAGGTGGTCAAAAAAGGTTCTACCATGCACAGTTGCACATTATGTTCCAAAACCTAGTGAGCTGTCACCGCCTACATAGGCGTAATGGAAACTCATTAGTGACTGATTAGAAATGCTCTTCATGGACAACAACTAATGATCACTTAGGTGCATCACAAATAGCTTTCCTCACATGAAGCACACAAGACTCATCTAGCACTCAAAGTGGATTCCTGCAGAGTTACCAATAAAGCCTTAATTGCTAAGCTAACAACACAAAACTGTAGTAAGCACACGTAATTCACATGCCTGCTGAAAACTTTCTGGCAGCTTTTTAGGCAGGTTTATTTCACTACAAAACTCATGCATTTAAACAGACTTTTACATGAAAGTTTGTTTTTAGTCTAATTTTAGACTGGTTCATTTATAAATTCATACACTACCTTTTTTTCTTTACACTGAACTCACAAGAATACTGTCTGGGATTGATGCTGCCTTAGAATTTCACCAAAGCAAGGTACCATCTTCACATTGGGAGCAGACCAAGCCTAGAAATGCTGCCAAGGCAGCTTACTAACTTGTGGAAGAGCGCTATTATTTGGAATACTTTTGAGTACTCAAACTTGGGTAGACTTAAAAGTAAGCAACTAATCCCTGATCCTACAAAAAACAATTACAGTTCTCAAATAGGTCAATCTTAGAATTAGAAAAATACTAGAAGTAAATACACTTTATAATATTGTTGTATTGGTAGGTGATAATGTGAATTGTCTTAGGAAGTGTACTCACAGGATTTTTCTTCCTCTTGTCTTTGTTTTTGCTGGGCTTGCGGTTGCTCACAAAGTAGTGGAGCGTTCCGTACTCAATCAGAGCGGCGAAAACAAAGATGAAGCACACCGATACGAAGAGATCCATAGCTGTGACGTACGACACTTTGGGTAAGGACTTCCTAGCAATGGTACTCAAAGTGGTCATGGTAAGCACAGTTGTGATTCCTGGGGAACAAAGTAAATAATACTGAAATAAGAACATGGAGATTGCAATGTCTGTTGCATATGGACTACTGAAGTTATATCTGTGATATTTATCTTTTACATGGCTAGTGCATGGTTGTGGTTTGGCTTTTAATTCCCACTGAACAACGACAAGGCCAAAAGCAATAATCACTTAAGAGTCAGAATAGGGCCAAACCCAAAGCCTCCATATCTTTGGCTGAGGATGCCAAAACATGCCTTAGGCCAGAGAAAGCAGATCTTTCCTGAAGGGAAGCTATAGAGCAGGACATCTGGCCCACGAGATCCACTTTCCAGCAGAGTTTAGCTCTAACCATAATCAAACACACCTGAACATGCTAATCAATGTCTTCAGGATCATTAGAAAATCACAGGTAAGTAAGTTTGATCAGGGTTGGAGCTAAACTCTGCAGCGCATTGGCCCTCCAGGGCAAGATTTGAGGAACCCTGGTATAGAGGTTCCTCCAGAATTGACACTAGATCTGAGAACCAGACTTGAGATGGCCAAAACGGAACCACCAGCAGGAGGCACACCTTATCCTGCTGGTCTCTTCTAAAAAAGTCTTCAGGTTGGAGGCTCACTGGCGTAAAGGGATACAACTTGGCCTTGGGCGACTCCTGTGTTAGGGCATCTGAGCCCAGCTGTGCTGGATGAGAAAACCAAATGGGACACTGAGTCATCTTGAGTGACCAAACAGATCCACGTCTGCTTTGCCGAATTTCTGCTATTGTACAATTTCAGGCTCACAATCGGAGGATGACGCCTCCACTCCCTGGGTCTCAGACCTTCTCCTTCCCACAACTCCAAACTTGCTACAGTGGAGTCAAAACCCGGGAGGAAAAGTTCTTTGCCATGGAGTCCTCGCCCCTTGCTGAGATGGACAATTCACTAGCCAGACTCCATCAAACCCAACATCAGGCCCTCTTGAATCAAGCCCAAGTAGCATCTCAACAGCTACCTGTGCAGAACTTCCTGCATTACGAACCTCAAGCGGGTCATCCTGTGTGGTCCACACCCTAGAGCAACGGCAGCAGTGTTCTGTCCGTCGAGCTGGGGAAAAACAGTCGGCCATTTGTGATGATCCAGCAGATCTGTGACACCTGCCGATCTGGTGGTCCTTGAACAGCTCATTGCTCAGCTTCAAAAAGATGTAGCCAAGTGGGTCTAGTGCCACCTCATAGATGTAGTCTCAGTTGTATTAATCTCATACAGCAGCAATTTAAAATTAACCCTGGAGTAATGGTGCATCCCCTTATTGCCTCTGTTCAAATACAAGACAGCCTTCACTTTTGATTACACCCATTTGTGATGCGTTCTTTCGGGATCTTCAGGGCACCCACACCCACCACCTTAGCATCTCATGGACAGAATTCTTAGGCCAGACATTACAATCAATCGTAAAACACCGAGGTCAGGAGTCACTGCAGGAAAGATAAGCTGCTGAATACAAGTGGTGTTTATAGGTAAGACAAGATAAACAATTTGCTATTGGAGTAAGAAAAATAAATTCAAGATAAATTCTCTTAATTATTGTTTTTAAATTTTACATCATTTTTATTCTCAAGTAAATTTGTTTAAGGATGTTTAGATAATAAAAAGACAGAAAAAATGTTTAAGAAAATAGGGATAGTGTCACAACACAAAGCTGGTTTATCAGGTAGAATGTAAACAGAAGGTCTTACCCAAAGAAGTTCTGGCTGGCACTGCATCCTTGTTGATCCAGAATGAAACCCAGGACAGAACAACGATCAAGGTACAGGGGATATATGTCTGGATGGTGAAATAACCCATCCTTCTGCTTAAGTCAAAGAAGACGGTCAGAACCACATAATCTCCTGGGGACAAAACAAAATTTCATATTATAAACAAATGCGCACACCTACTCGCTCCTTATTATTTCAGTTTTCATTAAAAACGTCCTTCAAAACTTTCTTTAATACCCATCTACTCTGTCTATATTACAGCCCAGCACAGTCTGGGCATTCTATTAACCAAGGTGTATCCTGATGCTGAACAACAGTACTGAGTCACCATGTTTTCCTTTAAATCAAAGGGATTTTAAGATCACAAGAAACAAAGTCAGTCAAGTGTGCCCAAATGTTTGACTGGTAGGGTACCTTTGACTGAATTGGGAAAAACTGTTGGACACAGGGGCTGCTGTTACAGCAATTCCAAGCAGCAGCTTTTCCACTATAAATCACAGAGCTCTTCAGCTGTCAGGCTGTTTTGGGCCAGGAAATCATAGACTGGATGTTAATTTAAAGGTCAATTAAGCATACAGAATAAACTATTAGGTCTCCACTATTAGGTCTCCTCACAATAGACACCGTCACACTGATTCCACACGGAAACACAACAGAAGGACATCAAAACGCCAAGGTGTGAGTGTAGCTGAAATGCATGGAGGACATGGGAGTGATTTCCAAAGTGACTCAACCCACTCTGTGGTGTATCAGCATGGTGACCCAGGTTCAAGACAGGATCCAGCTGTGCATTGATTTGACTTGTCTAAATAAGTGGGTGTTGCAAGAAAGACATATCCTCCTAGCTGCAGAACAGGCACTCACAATACTTGCAACAGCCAAGGTATTCACAAAACCGGATGCCACCTCAGTTTTCTGGCAAATTCCATTGTCAGAGGAAAGCTCACTCCAAATGACGTTCATTACCCTATTGGTAGATGTGAATTCAACAATCTACCATTTGGGATTTTGTTGACTTCAGCATCCCATGACACAGATTTTGATGTGAAGATGAGGGCTTGACGATAAACAAGTAATGTGTGTATGGTATGGACAACATTATGTTTATGTTTACGTCCCTCACCAACACTGCAGTCTGGGCCAAGCATGTGGCTGCTGATAGAAGAATCACAAGGGGCAGTCATTTGTCAAGCAAAAGCACGCAGATCTTACATCATACACACTGCTGAAAGACTGGTCAGGACTGCACGCATACACACAGCTGACCTGACTCAACATCTGAAACCTGTTGTCACAACTAACACAACCCCTGGGCCAGGTAACACTGATACACACACTCACACTACCAGGAACAATCACTGACACACTGACATGGGCAGAGCACCCAATGCGACAATTTCAGGCTGAGTGTCACAGCCTCCTGCACGACTGGATTTGTAGAAAAGAAAAAACAAAACAATTGATGCAAAAAACATTTGGGGTAGGGGTGTGGTTTACATGAAAACGAAAGAAGATGTGTTCTTGCTCAAAAGGGGGAGGTGTTCAGTATCAGTATCTTGCATGTTACTGGACAGACCTAATTGAGTGTAACACTGGTGGTGCATCATGTGTTCTGTAGTAAATGGTTATTCTGTGCACAGGATTTCTGTTTCGCTAATGCAAAAGTTGTGGCAGCATACTTTGTCTGTGGCTTTTCCTTTTTGACTGCAGAATCTCTGTTTTGACAATGATCTTACGTTTTGCACCTTTAAAGACCACCCTTTTTTAAAAAGTTAAAGATGAGAGTGAGGTAACCTACTTGCACTTTTCTGACACAACACTTCCTTCCTTATTTCTCACTTACTGATGGTATCATTACCATTATCATGGTACCTACACCTGCAGTGTTTCATAAATACTGAGCCTATTCCTTACAGACAGGGCACTTTTCTGATGGACTACTCCTAAATTATGCTTACCGTGGTCCACACATTTCAATTTTGTATTCATTACGACCCGCATTAGATGAAGCCCCTAAGCAACAGTCTGTCTTTTTTCTGCTGGCAAATTGCTGTAAAAACACCCTAATTTAGCATACTCAGCAGAGTCAAGGACCATTACTGTCTGTTTACTAATAAGGCACCACCATAACGGCTCCCATTACTTGCTGTCAGACAGCACCAGCTCAAAGTGTTTGATGGGTTTTGCAAGACTCATTAGTATAGACATTTATCTTGAGGAAACATACTGATAACACTCATTCCCATTAACCCATGGCTCAACAAAGTATTGCCAATGAAAGGAAGATAGCCAGATAGCTTTGAAACTGGGAAACTGCAGCTAGAAAAACTTTTGTAACGTTGAGGAGCAAGTGAAGGCAGGCGGGGACATGGATCTAAGCGCAGGATATTTAATGAAATAAACTGGAACAAACAATAAATCAAAAACACAAGGAACAAAGAACAGAAACACAGGCAAACAGACATCCATTACATTCAACAACTGACAAAGCACAAGAAAACCACAAGGGCTTTATAAATACACACAGGAGAATGAAAGGACCAATGAGTTACTATGGGAACAAACAAGGTAGGGGTGTGGTCATTGAGTTACTATGGCAACCAATGAGGGTAACTATGGAGACAAACAAGGCAGTCAGCAAAACAGACAGTGGTTAAACTGAAAACACTTAATAATATGAAGCAAACAGAAGGATCTGAAGTATCAATGTGATAATGTGAGAAACAGAATTGTGATACATGATTGGTACAGCTGCAATTTCTGAAATATATCAATCTAAAATAATAAGATAACAACAATAAACAATATACTTCTGTAAAACAAGAATGTTACATAAAATCATAATAAACGCAACCATCACATGTACAGGGCAGTGTATCAGTCCTCTGCTCAGATGCTGTGAATGTTTGACTGAAGTAGCTGCGTCATCTCCATTGCATTAATTTAATTCTCAGCTCACGGACTTCAAAGAAGCCCAGTGCTTAGATTGTCCCTAATGAGAGCACAGCGCAGCACCTCAAAGACTGAATCTGCCAGATCTCATCCGACAGTCTGCTTGCCTGTAATGGAACAAATGGTGCAAGTATAAAAAAAAGATGATATGAGATGTCTGCTTGCCTTTTATCTCTGCACAGTGGGAACATCCCCAGACTTCTCTTTTTATATCTCTCTTTTCCTCCTGTCTCTTTCATGCATTTTTGAGACCAATATGCAAATCGCAAGCAACCATGTACAGAAAGATATCTTCAGCACAGGCCAGGGACCTCTATGTACAAATGTTGCCTATTCACAAAATGGGTAGTGATTCCCAACTCTGTTTCCGGAGCCCCTCAACATTGCACATTTTGTATGTCTCCTTAATCAGACGCACCCGAATTGTTTTAATCCTTGTCCCTAACATTTAGAGAAGACCATTATAATGATTAAGCATTATAATGATTAAAAAAATCTGATTTCATCAGTACACAATACTCAAAGTCAAGGGCATTTTTTAATAGGAATTTGGTTGACCTTCAAATTTGGAAAAACCTTATTTTTCCTCTGTATTACATCTAAGCTCCATGACAGTTACATAACTAGCTCTGTCAAGCTGTGTTGCAAACCCATCCAAACACCAAAGATCCTTTTTATTCTCCCCTTTTTAACTGGTTTAAAAGAGGCTTATCTTCACAGAACAATCAGGGTGCTGATGAACAAAAATCCTGGATGTGCTGGGGGACATAAAAATAATAATAATGTGCATTTCAAAAAGACATGATCTAATTAGCGAAAAACAAAAGTGCTGCAGATTTAGTCAGTGATAGGCTCTCGTCTTATTCACAGAATATGTTAAAGAAGCTGGGATACTGTGGTATGCTTTGTGAATCTTTTATACAGTTTAAAAGAAAAAAAAAAAAGAGGGATAAAGTTTAGATAAATCTGGCACAAATTAGATAGTCAACGCAGATGCATTGAGGACCAGTCTGCAGTGTTTATTCAGTATTCTATTACAAAAGAAAAAAATCTCACAGTTAAAAAGGTGTTGATGACGTCAGATGTGATGCACTGTTGATTGAACTGAAAGAAGTGGAGATGCAGGCATTGTAGCAGTTGTCGCCGTGATTATCTTATTGCATGAGAAAGCAAGCAAAAGGCAGGGGTTTAGACTCAAATAAAAGCATTAGATGCTCACTCTATCAGACAAAAAGCTGGCTTTAAAAATTAGAAACTGAATAGAAAATCTGATTTAGATTGGTTTATTTTGGTTGTAAATGTCACCAAGTTTTTCACCTGCAAAAAATGTATAAAAAAGAAGGACTGATGCACTGATGAGCTTAGTAACACCATTAGGCCAGGCTGACTACAGAAGACAACGGTCTCATTATCAAAGTCCAGAGAAGACTTCATGAAAGTAAAAACCGAGGGTTCAGCAGTGGTAAGCCTCAAGAGCAGGAAGGCCAAAAACATATAAAAAAACCCTGCCCAGTTCGGGGTTGGACATCATTCTTTGGACAGATGGAACTATGGTCAACCATACCAGAAAGATGGGAATACTATAGAGAAGGATCATAATCCGAATGGAACATAAAATGGGCATGTATGGTTGCTAATGAAACTGGGTCATTAGTGTTTAATGAGTGTTTAGAGCTATATCAGCTCAGATTCAGTCACATTCTACAAACCTGATAAGTACAGTACAGATGGACAATGACCCAACACACACCGCAAAAGCTACCAAACTGATTTTTTTTTAAATCTTACCTAAACTAAATTAAACATGCATTTGCCTTGCTGAAGACAAGGCTTAATGCAGCTTTGGTAAAGCATCACAAGGGAGAAAACCCAGAATTTGGACATTTACTGCAAATGTTTTTGAGCTCCTAAAATGGGGGTGCTATTATAAAAAATATTTATAATTGTGTTAGACACAGATGCTTCCATAGTCACTGACTACATACTATACATTTTAAATGTTTCAAACTATTATTTCAGGTTTTTACAATGTAATTATATTATTGTCTGTGGCTGTAGTATTGTTTTTGCAATTTGTTTACAGTTTAAAAATAGCATTATTACATATTTAAAATTCATATCCAGTAAAATAATGTACTTTTTAAACCTTCTGGTGAAATCAAGCAATATGAGGACTAGCA